AGTTGTACGGTTTAAGAGATGAATGGCTAATTGTATAAATGGGTGACTAATACAATTAACTAGTTCTACAGCTTAGATACAGGTGACTCTGCAGCAATGACAGCAAATTAGTAACTACTTGTGGGTTAATCGTCATTGTTGTAGAGTCTCCTGTCACTTGATGTATTGTTTTTAATCTACAACTAGCAACAGGTGACTCTACAATGGTGACAGAGGATTATTTACAATAAAAACCAATACAACTAGTTACAGGTGACCTTACAACCAGCCATGACAATTATTCCACAATGACAGCAAATTAAAAACTAAATGTGGAATAATTGTCATGGTTGTAGAGTCACCTGTAACTAGTTGTATTGCTTTTAATTAATCTGTAATTAGCTATTAAACTAAACTATCTGAACTATACAAAGTTACATATTACTGCATAAAAAAAGAAAGCAAAGTAATGACCAATATCTTATCGATAACCGATATTAATCGATTTCTAGTCAGCACTGCATTTATGGTGGAGGATTATGAATAGAACTGCTAGTAATAACCACTTTCGGTTGTAGTCACTTTTACCTGACTACGTATACTTTAGGGGACTAGATTTATCTTTAAATGTATTATTTATATTATACATCATCATCATGTTACGTTATTTGATAAATTACTTTAAATTAATAGTGAAAGTACTAGCAGCAGCAGTAATAACAATAGTAATAATTACTGTAATAATGTAAATACATACTTTTATTGCTAATACTGTTTAGATAATTTACTAAATACAATGATTCCTAGCATTAACGCTATTTGATAGAGACAATATTAATTGTTTAAACCAACTGCTAAAATATTAATACTGCAATAAGACCTACACTTAGAGGGTAACCCTTGTTGTTTTTAAATACAATTAATAAACCTACTGTCTTAGGTATATACATACTAAAGATTGTTAAGAGTGCTATTCTTATGTTATTTATTCTAATTAAGGTCATTCATCAGTTAGTTCTCAAAGCTAATTAGCAGAACTTAATTCCAATTCACTACCTGGCTTTAATGCCAATTGATCCTACTATGGTTGTTTACCAATATTCAGCACTAATGAAGATCCCTGTTGATCACTGGGAGTCATTAGTAAAACTAATTACTGCAGGGGCAGCTATTGAGATTGCAACTTGTTTGTCAAATCGGAAGGGAAGGCCATATTGATTGATCTCAGCCATATTAAATTATCTGGTGCCATGAATGTTTCAACTCTTGATTGTTTGCATTTGTGTATAGCACAATTACAGGATGAGGCTACTCTTATTATATTAATATTCCTGTACATATTAATATGCTATATTAATATTACAGATATAATATTAACCCATGATAGAAGCAGCTATTATTGAATATTAATGTTTAACTTGAAATATAAACACAAATATATGCATGCTCATCCACATTCATTATATTAAGCCTCATATTATTATTTGTATTCGTGAGGTCATTTCATTAGCTGCTAGGTGATAATTTCTATTGCTATCCATTAAATGGCTGTTCAGGAAAAAATCCCCATTGTTTTCATCCTAACTGGTCTGAATGCAAGTGCCCTTTGCAATTAATAGGTATTAATTTCTTCCTCCAACTCAACTCGCATTGCTGGTTGCTATGATAATTTATACTAATCAAACCATCCTTAATAACAACCTGCCGAGGTATTAATTACTATTACACTTATTAATACAACATTTAACAAACACATTAACAATGGCAGTGCTACTTAATGTGAAAAACTAGCCCTTATGAATATTAGTAAGTGCTAATTAGTAACTTTATTAATTAGCCATTCCAGATCCTCATACATGTAGCTATTACTAGTTTCTATCAGTAAGTTGTGTCCAAACTCGAGTTGCTAATGAGAAACTACTAAAGAGTTGACAGATCTAGCTCACATATATGTAACTAGATAGCTAGTTAATTAAATTATTACCTACCTTGTTATATTTTTATATTATTATATTACTTTATACAAGTTTCCCTTCACATTTTGTGGACTCTGTATATTCAAAATTTGCTTATGCCATGACCCTTTTTACACCCAAAATTCATTATATACGAGGTAAATTCACTCTCATACAATTTGCAGCAGGTAAGTCTGTGGGGGTGGGGAAAAAGGGCCATGGGCAAGGGGCGCAGATTGAGACCCCAGCAGTGAGGGAAGGAGCAGGGTACAGGTGGGAGCATTGGCTGGGTTGAGTGGGGCCTGTTTGCAGCCCCCACCAGTGGAGAGAGGGGGGAGTGGAGCTGGGGCAGAAGCTGGTGCTGCACGTCAGGCTGCACTGGAAACAGGTGATGGTGCTGGGAAGGGGGCTCCTGTGGGGGGGGGCTAGAAGCCACCCCAAAATTTGACAGCCCCCCCCAGCACTGCCACCCCCCACGTGGGGGAGCCCGGTGTGGTCCCTGGCCCCAGCAGCAGCCCCTAGCAACAAAAGCTGTGCCTTGTCCCACACACCACCCCAGTTGTCCAGCACCTGCCTCAGCTCCAGCCCCAACCCCTCCCTTACCACCAGCAGGGGGGCAGACCGAGGCCCCACACACCCCAGCCCCTGGGACCGGGATCTTCCTGGCAGGGGGTCTGGGTTGCATTGCACGCAGGGCAGGCTGTGGCAACACAGGGAGGGTGCCTAGAGGGGCTATGGCCAATTTTGGGGTGGCTGCAGCCCCATGCCCCATAACCTCCCTCCCAGCACCGCCCTCCGCCAGGAAGAGCCCTGTGGCTGCCCTGGCCCCAGCAGACTTATATGTTGCTGATGCAGTGGAGGTCTTGGAAAGTATCCTTATTTGTTACCTTGTAAAGTGGGTACCTGTTATGCAAATTTGAGTTAGATACATTCCTAAAAAAACTGCACATACCGCATAAAGCGAGGGAAAACTTGTATAATTTTTTTTTGTATATATGCTATATATAATATTATTATTATCTACCTAGTTATAAGATATATTTTCATATCATTATATTATATGATTTTGATATAATTACATTATTACCTAACTTGTTATGGAAAAAAAAAATCAATACATTTAATTAAATAATGGATAGTTGATAGTATAATGTCTAATTTGTTTATACCAACTAGCAAAACAGTAGAAACTAGCAAAGTCTCCAACTATGAAACTATTGCTAATTAACAAACTAAATTAAACCAATTCATTAAACAAGGCCTAAAACAACACCTTTAGTTTAGCTGGTGTTTTTGCTAACCAATAGCACTATCAATAGTTTTTACCAATTAGCATCAAAACAACCAATTAATACATTGCTCACAGTGGCTCAAATTAATTGGCAGAAGGCTAACAGGCATTGCTATTAATAGCTCCTATTAATTACTTTGGAAGCTATTGCTATTAATAGCTCCTAGGCTGATGGTGTTTGGATGGTGGCTGTTCTGGCCACTGAGAGCAGATATTTATTAGCTGGTGCTAATTAGTGCTCTTACCAATTAGTTGCTATTGATGCACCTTGGCTTTCCTATTAATAGAATTAGCTCACTTCTAATAGCATATTAATGAGTTTCCCCATATCCTAATTGGCAGAACTATTCATAATTATTACTGCATTATCTGCCATTATTAGCATTAATTGGTCTATTAAAGAGGAGGTGCCAATTAGCTGGAAAAGCTCATTAACACCCCTGCTAATTACTGATTCTTAGCCACATGGCTGGAGCTACAACTTGCTGATACCACTTTCATTGATCACCCGATTAATTTGCAGCCACTGTTCTCGGTTAATTAGCTATACTTGTTAGCCATCAATGTTAATTTGGTAACCTGTGGGGCCCAGGCCTATTCCAGTATATCCCAAATCAGTGGCTGGAAGCACCCCTGAAAAATTAGATGTTAGTTAACAGGTGTTAATGAACTCTGGCACTAGTTAGGGGTTTGGGGGGTGATGTTCTCCAAGGTACCAGCTCCCACCACCTACCAGGACTGGCCAATGGGTAGAGAACCCAGGTGCCTAGACTCCCCATCCTCACCTGCTCTAACCCATCAAACCCCACTACCCCCCTGGCAGAACTGGGGAGATAACCCAGGTGGTCTAGCCTTCCTCCCCCATGTTGAAACCATCAGACCCCAGTGCCCTCCCGAAGAACCCAGGTGTCTAGGGCCCCCATTCCCATCTGGTCAGACCAACCACGCTTACTACCCCCTGGCAGAGCTGGGGAGAAAACACAGGCAGCCAGGCTCCTGGCATTTGAGGGGTTAACACCATCCCTCCCTCTCTAATGAGGTTCCCCACTGCTGCAGTTAATTACAGCTTCTCAGTCCCCATGGCAATAGGCAACCAATCAGAGAAGTGGAAACCAGACACCTGCTCCCCCCCAGCACCCCCACCAGCTCCCAGCATGCTGTTTTCTAGTACCACAGCCCCCAGCATGCCCTGCTCCCCCTAGAACCACAACTCCCAGCATACCCTGCTATCCCCTAGAACCACAACTCCCAGCATGCCTGGCCCCATCATGGAACCACTTTCCAGCATGCCCTACCCCCACCACAGCTCCCAGCAAACCCTGCCCCTAGAACCAGCGCTCAGCTTCAACCAAGAATACCCATAATTCTTTGCCCCATTCTGCAAAGGATTCTGGGAACTGGCTGGTACCTGTAGTCCCTATAACAAATGGGGAGGGATGAGTACTAAAGCCACTCCTGAGAACTGAGGATCTAGGAGAAATGTTTTGGGGCTTAGAGTCCTTTTTATTGCCACCAATGGTTTTTTTTGCCCCAGAGGGGGCAACACTCCTGGTCCAGGCAAGGGGGGGCTAGCGTCGCCGGCGGAAAGCTAGGGGGGGGAGAGAGAGAGAGAGAGAGAGAGAGAGTTAGGGCACAAGTGTAAGACCAACCAGGATTGGTGGGCACGGGGAAGAGAACCCGGGTGTCGGGGCTCCCAGCCCCCACTGCCCTTCCTAGAACAGAGGAGAGCCCAGGTGTTCGGGCTCTCATTTTAAGCCTCAAGGGCCTACCCAAGCCTAGGCATCTCTAGCAATAGGGGCTGCTGGGATAGTGGAGAATTTGGGAGGCAACTCACCTTTTTTCTTCCCCTTCTTCACACTGATCTTCTTCCTCTTCCTTGGGGGACTCAGCTCCCGTGTCTGGGGGAAGGGGGTATTGGGGATTACAGCCTGGCAAGGCTGCTCCCCCCCCCCCCCCCCCAAACTGGTTCCCTGGGAAAACTGGCACCCGCTCTCCCTTGCACCAGTCGAGTCATGCCAGTGCCTCTGGGTAGGCCCCAGCCCCTTCTCAACATCCTCGAATCCCTCAGGCCCCTCACCTCTCCAGCCATCCCCACAGGGCCTGTGAGGGCGCTGATATCCCCGAAGCGGGTGAGGGCGCCAAGCTGGGCACCCGGGGCAGACTCCTTGCGCCGCCACGCCTGCTCCTGACGGCTCCGGCCCAGCCGCACCAGCATGCTCTCCTCGTACTGGGTCCTGACAGTGGAGGGGGGGGTGCCTCAGGGATAGGACCCAGGTGTCCAGGTTCCCAGGACCAACTGCCCATGACACACCCATGCCTTCCCAGGGTGTCCAGGCTCTCCATCCTGAGCCCAGGATCCCACTGCCCTCCCAAAGCCAGGATAGGACCCAGGTGTCCTGGCTCCCAGCCCCCCACTCCCCTCCCAAAGAGCCCAGGCATCCAGCCAGGGTCCCCTGGCACAGCCAGGATAGAAACCAGGCGTCCCCAACCCCCCACCCCAAAACAGCTGGGCATCCCAGCATTCAGATGCCAGTACCGGCGTGTCTCCTCGCGGCTGTGGCGGGCGGCATGGGGGGCCATACCCTCCCGGATCTCCTCAGGGGCCTCCGAGAACTGGTCTCGCAGCTCCCGAATGACAGAGCTGCTCAGCGCTCGGCGCGTGGCCTGCTCCTGGCGCCGCTGGGCCCGGGCAGCTGCACCCTCATCTGCAGGGAGAAGGAAACGGGAGCAGGGAACCCATGGGGCCACTGCATCTAAGGCACCCTCATCTGGTACTGGGATGCAGCCAATTCTGGAGGTGGGACAGCCACATGCAACAGCAAGCCCTCACGAAGAAGCCAGGGCCAAGATGTGGCCAATTCTGGGGTGGAGCAGCCGCATAACAGGGAGTCCTCATTTGGAACCAGGATGCAGCTGACTCTGGGTTGGGGCATGCCAGGTGTACAGGGAACTAGCACAGAGATGCAGCTGGTTCTGGTGTGGGGCAACCGCATAACAGGGAGCCTTATCTGGCATCCAGGTGTGGCTGATTCTGGGGCAAAACTGCATATAAAAAGGGACAGCCCTTATCTGGCATCAAGATGCAGCGGGATTTGGGGTCGATCATACTGGGGGCAGTATAAAGCAAGTCAACCCGATTCAAAACAGGCCAATTCTGTTGGAAGGGGGTTGGGGTGGCTGCATATAAACAGGAGCCATCACTGGTGCAGAGATATCAGCATCTGCCACTCCAGAATCAGCACCAAAAATGGGGCTGACTTAAGGGCTCATCATTTATATGGAGCTGCCGCACCTATCTGGTGCCAGGACACAGCTAATTCTGGGGTGAGCCATGCTAAGCATACAGGAACTCAGCTCCGAGATGCAGTTGGGTCTGGGGTGCAATGGCCCACATAAACAGGAAGCCCTCATCCATTGTCAAGATGCAGCTAGATCTGGGGTAGGATGGCTGGATGCAAGGGGAGCCCCTGTCCAATACCAGGATGCACCTGATTCTGGGGTGGGATGTGCTAGGCATACAGGGAACCAGTACGGAGATGCCCATGACGGGTAGGGTGGCCATGTGTAATCTGGCACCCAGATGCAGCTGACTTTAGAGTAGGGCCGAAGGGCTGGTTATACAGTGGCCCCCACTCAAGCTGACACAGACCTCCAGGGTGTGGGGGCACTGGGGGCCTGTTGGCCAGCCCCTGCTGTGTTCTTGCAGACAAAGGAACCCAGGCATCTAGGCTGCCCCATTCTGCCTAAACATACCATAGTGAACCGGCACCAGACGGGGTGGGATGTATTTCCGGATCCCTCCTGCAGCTGTGGGTTTCTTCCCAGGGTCTGGGCCACTGGCCTCCTCTTCATCCTCACTCAGCTGTGCGGGGTGTGGAAATGAGGCACCAGGAGCAGGAGAGGACCCAGGCATCCAGGGAAACCCCTGCTGTAACTTGTCCCCACCCTCCACACCCTCTGTAGAGTGGGGAGAGCCCCGGTATCTGGGCTCAGAGCCCCCAGTGATCTAATGCTTCCCCCTCCCAATGAACCCAGGAGTCCAGGAACCTCCCCTGCTCTGACCTTTCGACCCCCCCGCCCTTTCCCCAAACTGGAACCACAATGACAGCTCTAGAGGGGAAGAGAGCCCAGGCGTCTGGGCCCACCCACCCCTCCTAGAGAACCCATGAGCCCCTGTGGCACCCAGAGTACCCAGGTGTCTGGGCCCCCTCCCCACTAGAGAACCCAAGAGTCCAGCTCCCTCTCCCCAAAGAGGACCCAGGCATCTGGGCTGCCCCCCCTCCCCCTTTACCTTGCTGGCCATGTTGCTGGGGTCCGGCCGGAAGCGCAGTGGGTCATCCCCCCCTGCAAACAGAGTGCCCCCCAGGGAGGGGGAGGAGCAGTGAGCCTCCCTGTGCCTGGCCCCACCCCACTGTGCCTGGTCCCATCCCCCAACTCACCCAGGGCCCCAGTGGCCGCTGCCCGCACCAGCTTGTCCACCTGGTACCGGAGCTTGTGGTCGATGGGCCGCATCTTCTCCAGCACCTGGGGGTGGGGCTAAACTAAGCCACACCACTACAAGGTCCCACCCCTAAGCTCCAGCCCTCCTCATCTAGCTCCACCCCACACCTCTACATCTCTTAGCTCCACTTGTCTCCCCTCTACCCCCACCCCTTCCCAACACCTGCCCCAAGATGCCACAACACCCCCTAGCCCAGGGGTGGCCAATTATTTTGGATGGAGGGCTGCTTGCCGAGTTTTGGCAAGCCATCGAGGGCTGCATAACAGGCATCCAGGGACAAATAAATATTAATTTTCTACATTTTTAGGGGCCCTGTGAGCTGGATAGAATGGCCTGGTGGGCCGCATTTTGCCTGCCCCTGCCCTAGCTCCACACCCAATACCCCCAGACCCCCACCCCTCTAGCTTCACCCCCAATACCCCTCTCCACCCCAACCCCAAACCTTAAGACCAACCCCTCCCTTCTAATCCCACCCCCTCACCGTGCGCAGCTCTGCCAGGCGCAGGGGAGGGGCGGTGCCGGCCAGCGGGCACCCCCCAGCCTTGGCTGCCAGCACGGCCGCCAGGTCCTGCAGGTAGAAGAGCAGCAGCTGCGGCCGCAGCACCAGGAAGCTCAGACCCTGCAGGAACAGATGGACATGTGAAAGCCTAGATGCCTGGGTTCTCTGGGAAGCGAGTGGAGTCCAGGGGTTTAGAACAAAGGGAGGGGGGAACCCGAGTCCTCCAGGAGCAAGGCAGGAACTGGGGGTTAGAGCAGAGGGGGTTGGATACCCAGATGCCTGGGTTCACCCAGCTCCTGCATGGCAGTGGGATCTGAAAGGGGTGCCCAGGTGCCTGGGTTCTCTCTCTGCTCTAGGGATAGTGCAGGTTCTGATAGGCTAAGAAACAAGAAGTGTCTGCTGGGACTCGACTCCTGGGTTCTCCCCAGCTCTTGGAGGTGTTGTGGCCTGTGCTGGGAGAAGGCAAGGTTGGGAGCTCAGACACCTGGGTTCCATAGGAGAGCAAAATCAAGTGAGCTTGAGTGGAGGTGGAGCTAGGAGCCCAGACTCCTGGGTCCCCTAGAGGGTCCCGGAACGGAGCAGGATTTCATTGGCTACAGCAGGGGAGCTGGGAGCCCAGATGCCTGGGCTCCCTCCTGGGTCTGAGAGGGGGGTCTCAGGTGAGGGAGAACATGGGTTGGGGGGGGGCGCAAGTATCCCCCCAGCTCCTACCTTGGCAGTGGGGAAGACACCAGCCTGGACCCTCTGCAGCAGCCCCTGGATGTGCACTGTCACAGCGGCCACCTGCAGAGATGCAGCTCAGACCCAAACCCAGGGCAGGAGGACGTGGGCACCCCCCGTGGAAACAGAACCCAGATGTCTGGGGCACAGTTCTCCCCCCTCCCGGAGCCTGGGGGGGGGGGGGGGGGGGGG